CCCAAGCCCGCTGAAGTGGAAGCAAGCACAGAGTCTCAACCACTGGACCACCAGGGAAGTCCCAGAAAATTCCACTATTTTTGAATATTTGCAGCACGTAGTTTCTCAGAACAATAATTTTCTGCTGTAAATAACATCTACACAAGAAACGCATAAGATAGCAAGATGACAAGAAATGCAAAAGCTAGCGTGGGGTGTGGGGGACCAGGCAGGTGTGGTTCCCTGGCGGAGGCGCTGGCCGTCCACGCGGGTGGTTTGGCTCCAGCCTGTCGGCCCCGTAAGGAAAGGACACCGCCAGGGGCTCTAATTTCTCAAGATACAGGGAGCATCTTCTTTCTGTAGGATATTTCAAAAATGTTGGGCTCCTTAAAAATGCCATGTAGTTTTACAGTGATGAGAGAACGGACTCTGTATGATTTCAGTACCTCTGATGAGTGAATGAGTGACAGTCACTCACTTGAGTCTGACTCTGCGACCCCATGGACTGTAGCCGACCAGGTTCCTTTGTCCTTGGAATTCTCCAGGCAAGAACGCTGGAGTGAGTTGCCATGTCCTTCTTCTCAATACCTTTAAACCATGACATTTTTTGCACTTGGTCTTATGTCCTTGGATATTTTCCAGCATCTCCTAGCTTATAGTCTATGCGAACTTAAATAGAATTTGTATCCTACTGTTGTGTGAAAATGGTACAAATCTTAATTAGCTTGAAATGATTCACAGTGCTTTTCAGATCTACTATATCCTTCCACTTCTCTGTATGTTCGTTCTATTAATTTTTGAGAGTTTGACATTGAAATTTCAACTTAAAATCTTGATTTATCTATTAAAAAATAATTGTAATATATAGTGCAATTATATGTAACTTTGTTTTATATTTTCTAAGTCTCCTGTAAATGTGCTCTAGAAAAAACAGAAATGCGTGTGATTTTGGAAGCCGTGTCTGTGCCTGGGACACAGTTAGAGGGCTCTGGCTGGACACTCTGTTCTAAGGAGGAAGAATGATTAGAATTCAGGTCCCTAATTCTAAAGTGTGGGTCTTCACTTCGTTTCATGCTTATTTCTGTGCCTTAGGCAAGTGACTCCACCTCTGTGATTCTTGGTTTTCTCCCATATGAGATGAAGTCACTCACTGCATTAGACAGAGGATCTTCGCTGCTTTATCTGGCTCTGAGGCATCTACAAGTCAGCATGTCCTGATGTGAACCCATCACTTCTCTCAAACCCATGCGCCTTTTTGTTTCCTCCTTGGAAGTCTCGGCCACTCAGACGCCAGGCCATCCTCAACACCAGCATCCTCAAGTGCAGAATATTATCTTCCTTTGCTTCCAAAATCCAACCCCGAGTCTTGTTAATTGCAGATTTTCACTATCTCTTGAGCCCGCTCTTTTCTCTCTAAATCCACTGACTTTGCTTCAATTAAGAGCTTCGTTGTTGATTTCACGGGTTACTGATACTGCCTTTCAGTTGGAATCCTTGCCCCCAACTTCCAACCCATCCATCATCCTGTTGGCAGAGTGGTCTTTCCAATTTATACCTTGGACCAAACCATCTCAAAATTCTGATCACAGAATTCTTCTCGAGCCAAACTTGTATTCTCAGCACTGAACATAGTTCTTCATTATGTTCAAGGACATATGATGGATGAGTGAATAAATTAATAAAATAATTCTTTGCTAAATCTCATATTTTATGTACAAAAATTGTACTCCACCTCTGGACATTGATTCAATTGCTGGCTTAAGACACTGGTGGCATTTAGGGTTGGATCAGAGAATATTTTGAATATCTTATTAAGTCTTTTTTTAAACTAAGCATTCAGGCCTAATTTGTGTGGCTAAATGTTCAACCCTTGAAAAGTAAGTTTTATAACTGGGCTTCCCTGGTGGCTCAGATGGTAAAGAATCTGCCTGCACAATTAAATGAAAAGTAAAAGAATATATATATATATATATATATATTCATGATATAATGCTTATTTTGAACATATGCTTGTCTCATGAAAATCTAGGTTGCATCCCTCTCTGTAAAAAATCTGAATTTCTTAATAGATGGATACAAATCATAGTGTTTTTTGTTCTTTATAACTTTGGAAATAAGAAAATTGTTACCGGACTATTTTTACAGTGAAATTCCTTGTCATAGGAACAATGTGTTCTTAATTTCTCTATTGGGGAAAACTGATGCACTGGGTTTCTTGAAAGAGGCGTGCAGGGTGTGTATTCCCCGAAGTCCAGATGCTCTCACATTGTGGAAGGACCCGCAGTGACTGCCCTTCCACAGAAAATCTGTCCTGCTCTTCTTGGGCCAAACTGTATGTAAAATGGGGACTGAAGCGTTTCACTGCTAATTCCAGCCTTCACTCACTGCGGAGCTCACTTGCTCATAATGGCCAGCCTAGTGCTTCAAAATGTCAGCGAGAGAGTGCAGTGAAGCCCTGGGAATTAACCACTCACACTAATTAAAGGTTCCACTAATGGGTTCATTTGCCTTTGACCTGGGAAGGAAAGCCATAAATTCACATCCACGAACGCGGAGGGAAGTTGAGGGCTCCGCAGCGTGAGTCCCTTATTTGTGTATTTAGCAGCACTTTCCGGTTCTGCAAACACAGTCTTCTCAGGATTATTCTCAGGTTATTTGTCTAGAATCCACAGGAAGGTGACTTTGTGTATTTGGGGGATTTACATGCCATTCTACAAAATAATCTCTCTTTAAAAATGGATAAAGTAGATTGCATTAAACCAGAAAGGAAATATTAGTTTTGGTTCTCTTCGTAAGCCAAGTTGATTAAGGAAAGCATTGTTGGAAAAGGGCCGGACTCCGTCCTGAAAGGAGAGCTCCGGGAGCCGTGGTTCTCTGTGTCCCGGGCGTGGACGCGCCGCAGAGCTGGGCGGACCCCCGTCCAGTGCAGGGACCCACAGAGGAGGCAGGGTCTGGGGTGAGGGGGCCACAGGGTTTAGGTCCCGCCCCGCTCGGCCAGAGATCAGGCCGGTGACCCTGGGTGAGTGAGTCAGCCTTAGGGCGTCTTGGTTTCCCAGATGTGAATCGCAAGTTTCTCAGGAGGTAATGGGAGGATGTGGAGTGGATTTGAAACATGAAGGTGTTGCCCAAATGTCAGGAGCGACTATTGCTTTTCTGGCTGCTGGGCTTTTAAGGCTAAATGCACTTCAGGGGCCACATCTGCACACTTTTTCCCTCTTGAGCCCGGTCTGCCTGGCCTGGTCCCCAGGAGCACCTCGTGACTCCGGGCATGTCTCGCGGACACTTTCTACTGACGTCGGAAGCAAGGGAGAGTCCACGGCTGATTCTCTGCCAGAAGCCACTGTGCTGTGTTTTTCCTTCTTTCAAGCTGTATCTTTGGAAGTTTTGTTATACAGTCAGTCAGCTTGGACTCACAGGCTTCCATCGTGTTCGAGAGAGCAGGAAGCAGAGATGGCACCTGTTCGTTACGTTACAGCCAGGCAGCCTGAGGCCAGGTGACAGAGCGGAGGGGACGCAGCATGCAGGCGATGGATGGACTCCCGAACCGAGTGGTGCATATTCTACACAAGTGTGTAATCAATGTACATCAACTGGGCATTAGTAATATTTTCAACTCAGGAAAAAACTGCAACGTTAACCACAAACAGCGCATCTCATACAAAGTAAAAGCAAAAATAGCTTGCAAGGCTGTGATCTTGTGATTCAGGATAAATCCACACCCTCCAAGTCTTTGAGTTCCTTTATTATTATTATTATTTTAAAATTTATTTATTTTTAGTTGAAGGATAATTGCTTTATAGTTGAGTTTCTTATTCCTATGTATTCTCCTAACTCTAAGACATTTCTGGGACTTCAGCTTTCTGATGGGGACCATCCCTAAGCTCATGTTTTATGTAACTGCTGACAGAGCAGTTAGAACCACTGGACCCCTCGAGCATGTTCCCTGGACCCAGAGTCTCTGCCAGTCATGCCTAGAACCGCGTGTTCAGTGAGACATGCCGTGTGTGCTCCCCATCATCCTGAGCATCATCTGCGTGCAAGGGCGCAGCCACTGCTGAGCTTTTACTGATATAAGTCGATGAGTTTTATTTACACTTAGGCTTTCATTTCATTTAATTAATTTATTCAAAGATTTTTTTGTATGTAAACCATTTTTAAGTCTTAATTGAATTTGTTGCAATATTGCTTCTGTTTTATGCTTTGGTTTTTTGGCCTCTTTTTTTTCTGACCAGGGTAGAATCCATAAGCTCCTGCACTGGGAGGCGAAGTCTTAACCCCTGGACTGCCAGGGCATTCCCAGAGTTCAGTTTCCACTGTAAAACCTCCCCTGGGTGTGGACCTGCATTGGCTCTCCGGGGGTTATGTGGTTTTTCTATTCTCCGTGGGAATACGGTTCTGTTACGGGTCTGAGGTCAGGGACACATATGTGCACGGGTCACGTCTGTGTGCATGGCGTGGGGGGTGGTGTCTGAAGGCCCCTAAATCCTGCTGCTGAGACGTTCTGTAGCCACTTGGTTTTCAGTCTGTGCTATGTGCTCAGGGATACTTGAGCTCATCGCAGAGTCAGAATGTTGCTTGTGTTGAGGGCAAGCATGAAACGCTATTTCCCGGGTAAAGACAGAGTGACAGGCTGCCATTGAAATCAGCTTTCCCAGGGGACTTGTCCAAGACTGAACCCATCGTCAAGGAGGTTGGAGACAGAATCTGAAGAATCGTCCCCTCGCAGTGCCCTGGTGAGGGTCCCCCCATCTCAGTGCTCTGGTGAGGGTCCCCCCATCTCAGTGTCCTGGAGAGGGTCCCCCCTCAGTGCCCTGGTGAGGGTCCCCCCATCTCAGTGTCCTGGTGAGGGTCCCCCCATCTCAGTGTCCTGGTGAGGGTCCCCCCTCAGTGCCCTGGTGAGGGTCCCCCCTCAGTGTCCTGGAGAGGGTCCCCCCTCAGTGCCCTGGTGAGGGTCCCCCCTCAGTGTCCTGGTGAGGGTCCCCACCCTGAACTGGCCTGCGTGCGTCTGTGCCTCTCGGTAGACTCTGAGCCCCTTGGAGCAGCAGGCCACGAGCTCTGGAAGCTTCTGTCGCCCACCCTGCAGGGCGCAGGGAACGGCTGCTGTGTCAACGATCGTCTGGAAAACCAGCTCAGAAGGTGCGCACTCTCGCGGCACTTTCTAAGGCAAAGTGTCAGTCTATGTAACCGAGGAAGTGTCTCCCCAGAGCAGCAGGGTGTGTTTTTAACAAAGCACCTGTAACAAATCACATTTCCGCTTCCGGCGCTCGGGTCCAGTTTTGTGTTGAAAGGTGGGAGGCGGTCATGGGCTCCATCTGGTCACCTTGTGCCTGAAGGTGGGCCACCTCCTGCCACCTCTTCTGGTCTGGAGGCAAAATAAAACAGTGAGGGCTATTATTCAGAAACAAGGTCCTTGCTTTGGACTCTGCAGGGGCCTGGCAGCAGCGTGTCCATGTACATGCGCATGTGTGTGCGTGCACATGTGTGTGTGTGCATGTGCTCAGCTCAGTCATGTCCGACTCTTTGCAACCCCATAAGCTTCAGCCCACTAGGTTCCTCCATCCATGGGAGTCTCCAGGCAAGAATCCTAGAGCGGGTTGCCATGCCCTCCTCCAGGGCATCTTCCCCACCCACTGCGGGCGGGTTCTTCCCTGCCATCTGGGAAGCCCCTGGCTGCAGCGTGAGGGCCCGGTGATGATTAGGAGGGGCAGTGTCTGTCCGGGGCAATCCCCTGGGGCAGGTGGTGCCCTCAGGGACTGACAGTGGGGGAGCTGCTGAGCTTGCTCAGCCCTCGGCCGAGAAGAGCGAAAGCAGCCCTAGGCCAGCAGGACTCATTTCTGCCCCAAAGCAGCTCGGGAAACGCCTTCTTTCCTGGGGATGAAGGGGCCTCACGGAGCTGGCCGGGGAGGGCAGGGAGCCTCACCGGGGTCACCCTGTGTCCACACGCCCGGCCCCCTGCCCGCAGGAGATGGCGCCCACGGTGCAGAGGCGGGCAGGCCGCTGTGTGGTCCCGTCGGGTTCCTGGTGAACATCTTTCACGGTTCATCTTTGGGCAGCTTTCCCCTCCACGGTGTGAAGCAGTGATGACGCTCCCCTGAGCTCGATGAAGGAGCATACGCAGCTGTTCCCTCCTTCACCGTCCAGGCATCGGAACTGCACGGGCAGGCCTGGGGTCCACGGAACCTACCGTGGTTCAGCCCCTGGCGGGGGTCCCTCGAGACCCTGGGGAGCAGCCTGGAGCCCTGGGGCGTTGTGCTGATGGCCTGCAGTGCTGCCCGGATGGAGTCACTCTGCTTCTGAGTCTTTCTTGCCGTCAGGTCTAGCCATCCCTGCTGAGCCGTCAGCCCCTTGAGAGGACAGGGCCGTAAGTTCCCAGACGTGCCCTCCAGATGGGCCGAGTCTGGGCTGGGAGAGCTCACCTGGCTCCCCAAGTGCATTGGCTTCCACAGGCTTTTTGTCTTTATTTTCCTCCATGACGTTTCAGCAGAAGCTGTTAAAGGTTGATGTCTACAGATCCTTGTTCCTTGAGACTTTTTAACTATTAGGTAGGGAGATTTTTCATTTTTACTTTTAAAATCATTGAAACACTTAAAAAAAACTTTTGTTCTTAACAAATCAATAACCCTCATTCCCCAACTCAGCCTCCACCATTGTCCACCTTGTGATGACCGTGGTTCGTCTGTCAGCAGAAGGGGGAGGTTTTGAAGGAGGCATCTGTTCTTCCCCAGTGAAAACTAGATTTCCCTCTCCTAAAATATTAGCATGTTAAAGATTAAAAAATAAAATGTCATCCTTATCTCTTGCACCAATGCTATGTTGGGTTAACTATTGGACCTTTAGGTTAGGTTTGAAAACCGAGACTGTAAAGTCTCCAGCTCATTCCTTCTTCAAGTTTGTCTTTGATATTCTTTGCCGTTTGCATGTCCACATAGAGTACATTTGTCAATTTTCATAGACACGGAAAATTCTAGTGAGACTGTTGACGGGGATAACATTGACTATGTAGATGATTTGGGGAACAATAGTCACTTTATTCTTTTCTCTATATTCTGCTTTGCAGCAGTGATTTCCACCATTCTGTCCTCCAGGTCACGCATCCGTTCTTCTGTCTCAGTTATTCTGCTATTGATTCCTTCTACTGTATTGTTCATCTGTGTGTTTGTTCTTTGGTTCTTCTAGGTCTTTGGTAAACATTTCTTGAATCTTCTCCATTCCATTTCTGAGATCCTGGATCATCTTCAGTATCACTGAGAATGAGTCACTTTAAAATACTGTCTTCAATCCCCAAACCTAATATACAATTTTTACTTATGTAGGTATTCATTTTTTGAGGCAAACTTCATTTATTGTAAAATTTGCCATCCTAACCACTTTAAGGTATTTAATTTGATGTTTTTCACGTATTTACAACCCTGTGCAGTCAGTATCACTATCTAATTCCAGAACATGTCATCCCCCGAAAAGAAGCCTCATCCCCGTGAAGCAAGAGCCTTCAGCTCTCTGCGCCAGCCCCTGCAAGGACGCATCCCTCTGTCGGTAAGGAGCTTCCTGTTGTGCACATTCTGTATCAGTGGAATCACATCAGTGTCTGTCTGCCTTCATCTAGAATGTTTTCAAAGTTCACCTGTTTCGGAGCATATATCAGTCCATCTCTTTCCGTGTCTGAATAAGATTCCATTGTCTGTATTCACCACAGTTTGTTTATCCATCTGTCGATCGACGGGCAGTTGGGCTGTCCCCACTGTTTTGGCTGTTGGGCTGTGCTGGTGGGACCGTCTGTGTATGCGTTTCTGTATGAACCCATTTCCATTTCTCTTGGGTGAGCGCCCAGGGGTGGAATTAGTGGCTGCCTCTTTGGAGAAATGCCCAGCTCCTGGAGTGGCTGCTCCGTTGTGCGTTCACGAGAGCAGTGCATTTTATCTGCACGTCCCTGCTGACCACTGTCGTCTTGGGATTTTGGCTGTGGCCACCCTAGTGAGTGTGAAGGGATCTGTCATTGTGCTTTCAGTTTTCCACTCACTAAGGATACTGAGCATCTTTTCACGTGCTTTTTGCATATTCTTTAGGGGAACGCTTTTTCAGATCCTTTGCCCATTTTTCATTTAGGTTGACTCGTCTGGGATGAGTCCTTTATACTCTGAACACTAGAACCTCGGCAGGCGCATGACTTGTAGATATGTTCATATTCTGTGCCTTGTCTTTTCACTTTCTGATGGTGTCCTTTGATGTCCCAAAGTTTTTAATTTTGGTCAAGTCCAAACTATCAATTTTTTCTTTTGTTGTTTGTGGTATCATGTTTAAGAAGTTGCTGCTTAACCCAAGGTCATGAAGACAATTTCACCTGTGTGATGTCTGAATTTTTACTCCTCATGGGGTGGTACGTGTCTGATCTTTTTTCACTATGTGTCTCAGTCTTACTAGGGATTCTTCAGTCTTACTTGCATTTTTAAACAATTAACTTTTGACTTTTTGATTCTTTCTAATACCTTTTTCTATTCATTATTGATCTTCTTTTTCTACTACTTTTGATATGGTTTATAGTTTTTTAAAAAACAGCTTCATGCAATGGATAGCTAATCCTTTATTTTCAACAATACTTCTTTTCTAACCTGTGCATTTATACCTGAAAATTTTCTCTAAGCATTCTGTCAGCTGTGCTTTGTTATATTGTATTTTCATTACCATTTAGTTAAAAATATATTTTAATTTCCTTTGAACTTTTCTCTTCTTATGATCTATTGAGAAATGTGTTGCTTAATTTTAAAAATTTGAAAATCTTTTAGTTATGTTTTTGTCATTAATTTCTTGCTTGACCGTCTTGGGTTCAAGACTATATTAAATCACTTAAAATGCATTTAGACTCATAATACAAACAATTTTTGCAACTATTCCACCCAAATTTGAAAAGTTAGGTCCACTAGTTAAATGGTGTTTTCCCATTTTTTTATATTGCCATTGATTTTTTGTTTGTTCATCTTAACTTTTATAAAGAGAACTGTTTCAAGATTTATCTGTGTGATTTTTCTTCTTAGTCAAATGTCAGTTTTGCTTGAAATTGTGTTATTGGGTGCACGTAAATTTAGGATTTAGTCTTTCTATTAAATTTTCTTTTTTTTTTAACTTTTGAAATGTCTCTATCTAAAAATACACATTGCCTTAAAATCTACTTTATCTGATATAGGTTGTGCTATGTCAGACATTTTTTGGTTAGTGTTTTCAATGTATGTCTTTCTCAATTCTTTTACTTCAAATTTTCTGTATTTTTATATTTAAAACAGGTTTCTTATAAGCATCATATACTTGGATTTTAAAATACCGGTTAGAAAACATTTGTATTTTATTAATAGTGTTTATATTTTCATGTAGTAAGATTAATGCATTCTTGTGTTTAAATGTATCATCTTGCTATTTTTCCTGTTTGCACATGTGTGCTTGGATTTTATCCTTCCTAGCCTTGTTTTCAATTAATGGTATGTATTTTTAGTTTTACAGTTACTGTTTATTAATTCATTTGTTATGCAATGTTTTATTACTCTTTTAGTGATTACAGTAAAGATTGTAAGATTCATCCTTGATTAATTAGTGTATTACTAAAACCATTACTTTTATTGCATCGTGAAGGAGCAAGGATGTTGCAATAGTTTGACTGTGTTGTTGTGCAATTGTTTTCATATGGTTCAATTTTTCATAAAATTTAAATCTTACAAGATTTTAAATCTTTGTATGATTGATATTCCATATTCAGTCAGAGTTAACAACATATTTACCCTTTCTAGCGTTTTTTCATGCTTTCCTGCATTTATGCGCGTCTTTCTGGGGTCATTTTCCTTCCGTTGAAAACTCTTTTTAGTTTAGTTATTTATTTTGTATTGTTCTATTCATGCTGAATTTTCAATGGTTGCTTGTCTAAAAAATGCATTCATTTTACTTAATATTTAAAGGCTATTTTTGGCATGTATTCAGCTCCAGTTTGGAGATTTTTTCCCCGGCATTTTAGAACTGTCATTTCACTGTCTCCCTTCTCTTGTTTGTGTTGTGGAGACACCTGTCAGTCTCCCTGCTGCTCCTCTGAAGGACAGGCTTCTTCTCAGACTGCTGTGCTGGGCTTAGTCACTCAGAGTGTCTGACTCTTTGCGACCCCAGGGACTGCGGCCCGCCAGGCTCCTCTGTCCACGGGGATTCTCCCGGCAAGAATACTGGAGCGGGCTGCCATTTCCTCCTCCAGGGGATCTTCCCGACCCAAGGATTGAATGCAGGTCTTCTGCACTGCAGGCGGAATCTTTACCATCTGAGCCACCAGGGAAGCCCCAGAATACTGGAGGGGGTCGCCTGTGCCTTCTCCCGGGCGTCTTACCAACTCAGGCTTCCCTCTTTTCTTTGCCTCAGCAGTTTTACTTTGCTATGAATAGTCATTGAGGTAGGTGGGTGGGTCTCATCCTGCTACAATCCCTTCTGCTTCGTGCACGTGGCGAGGGAACACTTCTGGGATTATGACACATAAAGGGACTTTGCAGGTGTAATCAGGGCCCCCAGATTAGTTCACCCTGAGTTACTCAGCAGGAAGACTGTCCTGCTTGGGTCTAACCTAAGGTGATCTCTTTAACGTCGAGTTTCCCCAGCTGACTTTGCAGGGAGAACACACGGCCCGCTGTGGACTGTTTACAGATACAGGTGCCTCTAGCTGAGAGGGGTCTCCAACCAGCAGCTCCAGAGGAAATGAGACCCCCATCGCATAACTGCAGGGGACTGAATTCCTACAAACCTGGATCATGACCCCATGTTCCGGATAAGACCACAGCCTTGGCTGGCCCACTGTGAGAGCTGAACAGAGAACCCAACAGCGCCGGCCCTGGCGCTGTGTCCTACGGAACTCTGGGATGATAAGTGGGTTAGAGTTTCTGCCTCTGCTGTTGTGCAGTAGCTAAGTTGTGCCCGACTCTTTGTGACCCCATAGACTGCAGCACACCAGGCTTCCCTGTCCTCCACTATCTCGCAGAGTTTGCTCAAATTCATGGCCCTTGAGTCGGTGATGCCATCCGACCATCTCATTCTCTGTTGACCCCTTTTTCTCCTGCCTTCCATCTTCCCCAGCATCAGGGTCTTTGCTTCTGAGTTTGTGCTAATTTGTTACACAGCAGTGGAAAGCTATTATTTGTATTTTTTATTTTGGTCATTGGTTTTTAATTTAATATAGTTGACTTACAATATTATGTTAGTTTCAGGGGTCCTACAGAGTGATGTATGTTTGCACACGTCAAGAAATGACCACCGTGAGTCTAGTAACCATCTAGTCGTCTGTCCCTGCAGAATCATCATGGCGTTACTTGACCATATTCCTTATGCTATATATTACATCCCCATGGTGTGTTTATTACATGACTGGAGATTTGATCCTCTTTGTTGTTGTTACTGCTGCTCAGGTGCTAAGCCGTGTCCATCTCTTTGTGACCCCATGGACTGCAGGTATGTTGAGGTATGTTTCCTTTATGCCCACTATGTTGAGAGTTTTTTTTTTTATCATAAATATTGAATTTTGTCAAAAAAAAGCCTTTTCTGCCTCTATTGAGATGATCATATGGCTTTTATTCTTTAATTTGTTGATGTGGTATATCACACTGATTTATTTGCACATACTGAAATTCCTTGAATCCCTGGGGTAAATCCCATTTGATTATGGTATGTGATCCTTTTAACATATTGTTGAATTTGGTTTGCTAATATTTTGTTGAGGATTTTTGCATCTATGTTATCCATGATATTGGCCCCAAATTTTCTTTTTTTGTGATATTTTTGTCTGGTTTTGGTATCAGGGTGATGCTGACTTTGTAGAAAGAGTTCAAAAGTGTTCCTTCTTCTTCAATTTTTTTGGAAAAGCCTGAGAAGAACAGATGTTAACTCTTCTTTAACTGTTTTATAGAACTGGCCTGTTTGCATGTTTTTTAATCTTTCAGAGATTTGAGTTCTTACATCCTCTTGAACCCATAGGTCTCTATCTTTCATCTATTTTGGAAATTTTTTTCACCAGTTCTTCTTCAAATATTGCCTCCACTCTGCTTTTCCTCTGTCTTTCTGGGTATCCAAGACCCATGCACAGTTACCTTCACGATGTCTCATGGATTTTATTTCAAGAGCAGATGTTTTTGTGTCTTGATTGAAAGCTTGGAACATCCATCAGGTCTTGCCTCCACCTGTGCGGGATCCTCTCCTCAGCGCAGTGTGTTTCCTGAAATCGCTACATAACTTTTTAGCATCTTAGCGGATGCTTTCTGTTTTGTTCCTTGGCTAGTTAATTCATGCTCAGTTTAAGGGTCAATGATCTACTTCAAGGGGAAAGTGCACTCATTTCTCCATGTTTCCCTTATTGCTGTGATCTTTGATCTTCCAGTTCAGGCTGGTAGTCCTGAACTCCAAATTTTATTTCTCCAACTCAGGGAACCTTCTGTCAGTTTCAGGATATTGTTTTCTCTTTAGCCTCTATGCCTCCAAGTGCACATTAGGAAATGACTGTGGAGGAGACCTCTGAATTGAAAGTTCGGATCACCTTACTTTGCTTTCCTTCTCTCTGGAGCCTTGGCCCTTTAAATTCTGGTTGCCTTTATTGATCTCTGGCTCTTCCAATGCTTTTAAAGATAATTGTACAGCTTTGAAGTTGTGCTCCGTGGGAGGAGTCTCCTAACACAGCTGCTAGATCTCAGCTGGTAGTGAGACTAGTCAGACAACCCAGACAGTGTAAACAGACAATCTCTAAGAGAATTTCCATGGTCAAATACTTCTTGAGAATTTCTGAGAATTAACTAAAGAGACCAGGTACAACTGCAAGAAACAGGCTCGTGGTTAATAGGAAGCATGTGCATGACTTAGGGTTGAAACATGTTTGTAGTTCAGTAAGTTTGCAAGTAGGTTGGAGATGTGAATACTTCAAAATAAATTTAAAAAGATTCTGTTTAAGGTCAGTATCAGGAAAAACAGTGAAGAAAGAGTAGCCTCAGTTCAGAGATTGAGCCCTAAACCACTTAACCTTGGGTAATATGTATGATGCATGACCTCATGCATAGCCTTCCTGCATTTCCGGTGGCTTTGAGGCACACCCGTCCCTTTGGGAAGTTAATCAGTTCTGCCTCGATGACTCCTGTCCATTTGCCCTTGGGACCAAGTCCAGCTTTGGCGAGGAGAACTTCCCACAAGAGGCGTGGTGAAGGCACTTGGGCTTTGGAGGTGGGGTCTCATGAAATGAGGTTAGCTTGGCACTTTATCCACCCACACTGTCTTCTTCTTAACTCTTTATTTTGTATTGAAAGTGAAAGTTGCTCGGTTGTGTCTGACTCTTTGCCACCCCATACAGTCCATGGAATTCTCCAGGCCAGAATACTAGAGTGGGTAGCCTTTCCCTTCTCCAGGGGATCTTGCCAACCGAGGGATGAAACCCAGGTCTTCCGACTTGCAGGCGGATTGTTCACCAGCTGAGCCACAAGGGAAGGGGATTTTATACTGAAGTGTAACCATCAGCAGCGTTGTGATAGTTCCAGGCGGACAGCAGAGGGACTCAGCCATACATGTGCAGATATCCCTTCTCCCCCAGACTCCCTTCCCATCTAGGCTCTGCGTAACACTGAGGCTCACAGTAGGTCCCGCTGGGTATCCCTTTTAAATGTAGCAGTATCTACCCGCATTCTGTGCTGACCATTTGCTCACGTTCTGCCTTGCTTCACCAATTTGTGAAATGAAGGTTGTGACGGTGGTGAGGGCAGAGCGTCTGTGTGCAGCCCGGCACGCAGTGAGGATCAGCAAGGCGTGGGCTTTGTTTCCGCGTCCTTTTGGCGTCGTTTCCCCACGTCCAGTGTTCTTACAGACGGACACACCTCTGGTCCTTGTTTTTTACATCCGTCTGGCTTCAGTAACTTTTTCTCAGGCTGTGAGATGTGTGAACTTCCGGGGAAAGCTGGTTTAGATAGAGAAGGGCAGTGGGGAAAATTTTGATTCTTCTTCCAAGCACAGCCCGAGCACCCACCTGCGGCCAGGGTCAGCCTGGGCCTGGGGGAGTGGGAGGCAGCCGTTTCCAGCTCAGCACGGGTGGTGGCAGAGTGACCATCCGCCTGTGGGGACCCTGTGATGACGTGGTGGGCCTAGCGTGGGCGGGTTTCAGCAGGACACGGGGCAGAGTTGCAGAGGCCACGTCCTGGCGCGTGATCACGACACATGGATGCAGGGCAGAGTCTGAGGCTTGGCCAGGCAGACGTCTGGGTGAGGGACCAAGGAAACGGGAAGGTCCTCACTGGTGCCTTGATGTGGCATGAATACCTATGGAGCGGGCGGTGGGGTCTCCAGTGTGCAGGGGTCCGCAGTGTGAGTAGGTCCCCAGTGTGCGGGGGTCCCCCAGTGTGCGGGGGTCCCCAGTGTGCGGGCATCCCCAGTGTGGGGGGGGGGACCCGAGCTGGGGGGAGCAGCAGGCTGCCAGTGAATGGGGGAGATGTGATGGTGATAAGTTTCCTCGGGGTCGGCTTGCCCCAAGCAGGAGGTGAGCAGGACTTCAGAACTCCCTGAACCTGAAGCCAGGGTGCTTGGAAAGCCTCCAAACCTTCAGGTTTCTGCCATGTGTGAGTGCTCACTCTTCTTCTAGAACGGGAACTTGTACTTCCTTTTTAAAGTAGGAGGTCACGGCACCGGCTGTTACCGAAAAGCAGCGTGACCCCAGCCTCCATGCTGCTGCCGGATTTAATCACAGAGCACCAGAGACGTGTGAGGAACCCGCTGTGCCGGGGCTCACCCAGGGACGGGTGGAGGACATCCTGGGCCTGGGACGGAGGTCCGGCCCCTTTCGTGGGAGCGCGGAAGATGGGTAGTGGGGGGCTTGGGAGAGAGGTGGGGGGATTCGGGAGACGTGTTGGGGAGGAGCTCAGGAGGTGGGTGGTGGGGGCTCGGGAGACAGGTAATGGGGGGCTCGGGAGATGGGGGCGGGGCTCGGGAGACGGGTTGGTGGGGGAATTCCGGAGAGGTGTTGCGGGGGGCTTGGGAGGCGGGTCATGGCGGGGAGTGCTCGGGAGGTGCCGAACGCTGTGTGCGTTTTTACCCAGAAAGTTAGTGGAGTCTGATGTGGGTCCATGTGGACTTCACAGGGCAGACAGGCCAGCAGCCACGGGGAGGACAGTGGACGGAAGCGCAGACATCCAGCCGCTGTGACCACACGGAGCCGCCTCGGTCACTGTTTCTGCCCCGTCTGTGCACCAGGCCCAGCGCATCCCTGGCGTGTCCTGCCCGAGGGACAGGCATGGGGCCGGGATGGGGGCACCGCCTTGCTTCGGGAGAGGAGGCGGGCCCACCATTTCCTGCCTTAGCCCCCCGAGCTGTCATCTCCCTTCTCTCGGAGCCAAAAGCATCAGGATCAGAGATGCCAGAGGTGTGAAATCTCCCCAGATCGCCCCTCCTCCAGTCAGCGGGGGCGGGGGAGGTGAGGACGCCGACTGGGGGGGGCAGGGTCAGCGCAGGTCTCCTGTGCCCGCGTGCTGGGCTCCAGGGCTGAGCCCACCCTCTCTGTTCCACTGCAGACCTGACTGTCCCCTGGCCCTGGGAATGGAGACCAGGTCTCACGGGAAGGTGTAAAGGGATGGTTGGCAGGCATCTTCAGTAAGTGGATGCATCAATGCAACCCATCTCTTCTCCTGGAAAAGCAGGAGACTCTTGTGGGGAAATCGTGTTGGCCCGGGAGCCAGGCGGCCTTACTACCAGCCGTGTGGCTTGAGACGCCCTCCTTGGCCATCCGGGGCCTCCGTTTCCTGATCCGTGCTATAAGGGGACGCTAGGTAGCTGGCAGGATTGGGGCGCAAGTTAAAGCAAACTGTGAAAACACACACCATGTGTTTCCAAGGGCCCTGGACCCCCTGGGTGTCCCCTGCTCTGACCTGGTTCCTGGTTCCTGACCGTGGCCGGGGCCTGGGGGTGCTTGTTGGATGGAACTGTGCTGGGAGGGGCATTCATGCTCTGGTGCCCTGTGCTGTCTTTGGAGGAGGAGAGGGTGAGAGCCGGAGCAGAGCTGGGCGCTGTGCCCTGGAGGTCTCGGAGGTGTGGGTGCCCCCCTGGGGGATGGAGTGGCGTGGCCTGGTGCACAAGCCCGCTGGAAGGTCCTCACACCTGGTGGCCGAGGGGCTTTGGAAGGTGGGATTGAGGCCTCGCTGTGTGTCCTCCAAGGTGCTTGTGGCTGGAAGAGCTGACACAGCTGGTGCTGTGTGTAAGGTGGCGCGGCCGTGACCCAGGGCCCCAACGGCCTTGCCCTCCCCAGGGTCAGCTGTGGCCGGATCACATGGCTGGCAGGCCGCCATGGAGAGTGGGCGATGCTCAGGAATCTGATTTTGCTGGGGGATGCGTCTGATTTGCTTCAGAGATGGAAGCTGTCTTCGACGCTCGGATAGAAGATGAAACTGATTTGGGTCTGGATTTCACACTCTGTCCCATCTAGGTGGGAAGACTTTCATAAGTCGCCCGTGGTGAGCGGCTCAGACACTCCAGATGCGGGGAAGGGAGATGGCAGGGGCCACGGAGAACAGCCCGCCACACGTCTGGAGAGCTGCTTTGTGGGCAGGAGCTTCCTGCTCACTGTCCGCTGGACTTTGTTTCCCAACAGCGTTGGCTGGTGTTCGTCTTACAGATGAGGACACTGAGGACGTTTCTCACTACTTCACATCACCCTGCCGGGACGTGGGGCTGATGGTGGAGGGTTTCTGAGCCGCGTTAGAACCGCGATGGCATCCCGTGCGCGCTTTGTCATCAGCTACGCAGACGCGCTCACAGTGCTGTTTGCAGGCACGTGGGGCTTGGGGTGTCCGTGGGCCGGGTGCAACCTGGCCTTCCTGACTTCTCATTCATGGGTCGCACTCAGCCCCCCGTCTCCAATCAGCTTAGTGAGAATAGATCTTCTGCCTAAAAGAGAGAAGGAAGCCGCCTTGAAAGACAGGGGTCAATTGCGAATTGCTTTCTTCGTTTGCCTGCTGATGATAAAAGAAGGTATAGCCTCCTGATTTAAAGAGATACTAATTTGGGCTTCACAAAAGAATAGCTGATGAGCGCAAGCTTCTCAAACACACAGCTCTGGCCTTCCGGCCAGAATGATTCATCTCAGGGTAAGTGATTAATGACTGCATTGTCTTTCTCCTAATATCTCTTGAATCCACCCGTTTTTCTCCACCACACAGCCATCGCCCCACCTGGGGCCCCCACCCTCTCTTCCTTGGATGACTGGGACTCTGGTCTCTGATCCACACTCCCTCCAAAGTGCGAGTGAGCGTTGAAAAGCACACATCTCACCACATTCCTGTGCTGTTGGACCTGCCGATAGCCACGTAGCTGGCTGAGGGATATCACCTCTGGCCCAGCACTCAAGGTGCCTCGTGAGTGAGCTCAGCCCACCTCTCCAGCCCCGTGGAGCAGCTGACGGCCGTTTCCTAGGCCCCGTGGCCCCCAGCCTCCCTCCCTCCCACGTCGGGTCCCTCCGGGTCCAGAGGAACTCAGCCCATCCCCGCATCTCGACCTCCTGCCGCCCAAGCCGTGCACGCGTGGTGTCACCCCTCCTTCCACCGCCCCGGCCCCTACTGCTCACACTGCGCTCTAAGTACCTGTTTTCCTTGACTGGTCTGGGCAGGAGTTGCAGCGTCTCTGTTTTGAAAATTCATTTAGCTATGTATTTACTTTTGGAGGTGCCGGGCTTTCGTCGCTGCCTGCAGGCTTTCTCCAGTTGTGGCGAGTGGGGGCTGTTCTCCCCTGCGGTCACGGGCGTCTCCCTGTGGGGGCGTCTCTTGATTTGGAGCACAGGCTTCAGGTGCACGAGCTTCAGCAGTTGCGGTGCCCAGGCTCACTTGCCGCAAGACGCACGGGATCTTCCCCGACCAGGGATCGAACCTGCGTCCCCTGCCCGGGCAGGTGGACTCTTAGCCACTGGATCACCAGGAAGTCCCATTGCATCTTCTCTTCACTCCCCCGCCCAGTATACTGTTTGGTGCAAATTAGCTTCATTGTCAGTTTGTGGAACAAGCAGCTTGTTCAGCTGTTAGTTGGACCCTATTTTATGCCATCTCTTGCATCAAACGCCCACGGGGCAGCTATGGTATGTCAGGCAGCAGATTGCTGACATTGCAGGTGCCAGGGTTACAACCACGGTGTGGATGAGACCATGGGGGCTCCCGCTAGAGAAGAGGGGAGCCCCCCCCAGCTTCATTCTTAAGATCTCTATCTCAGGTGCCTCTGAGGTGTGCAGAGTGGGGTGCCCAGAGCTGGCCAAGTAGTGAACCCCTAACTTCGCAACCTTGTGAGGGTCTTAGGACTGTCTGGTCTGTACTTTTAATTATTATTTTAGCAGTAGTGTCACACATGGAACTTTATAAAAGAGCTAAAATACTGAGCTAATCAGGTCAGTGTTGGCCAGGCATCTTGCCACCTCCCATCCCCAGGTGCCCTGGCAGATGCTGTGGAAAATGCAAACCTGACCTGGCTCAGATGGTAGAGAATCTACCTGCGATGCAGGAGACCCAGGTTCAATCCCTGGTCAGGGAGATCCCCTGGAGAAGGGCACAGCAACCCACTCCAGTATTCTTGCCTGGAGAATCCCATGGACAGAGGAGCCTGGCGGTCTACAGTCCATGGGGTCACAAAGAGTCAGACATGACATAACATGAAGACATAACACTTCACTCCATCTCTTAGATGCAGGGAGGAAGCCCAGCCTCTGGGAGAGAGAGGACTCGTTTCTGAGCCCACGCGGTGGGTGGGGCCGGGGCAGCCCCAGGATGTGTGTTTCTGCTTTTACCTCCATGTCCATCTGTTTGGTTATACATCTCACAGATCCTGACCTGTTTATCTCTGTCTGTCCCCTGGTGGGGATGGGAAAGAGCCTGGAGTCTCCGTAAATCCCTTCTTGGCTGTGGCTCCCCGGGTTCCACACCCAGAATGGCCCACGCTTGTCCTGCAGCAGTTTGTTCAAAATTCAGCTGGATTCTTCTTAAGGACGTTTGTGGCATCTGCCTTAAAAAACAGGAGATGTCCTTGAAGGCTGTCTCCTCAGGGTCTGGGCTGGCTCTGACCTCGGGTTCAATCCCTGGGTCGGGAAGATCCCCTGGAGAAGGGAATGGCCACCCACTCCAGCATTCTTGCCTGGAGAATCCCACGGACCAAGGAGCCTGGCAGGCTGCAGTCCATGGGGTAGCAAAGAGTCGGATGAGATCTTCATCCATTCACGATGCAGTCTCTTCTACAGGTTCCTCCTGCCTACATGGCCCCTGTTTCCTGCAGATTATTTTGTTTCTGCCTGATGGTTCTGGTCGCTGGCTTCCTCGTTAGAAGCATTCCTCAGCCGTCTGGTACTCCTTGACCGTCTGCTCATGATGGAGGCTGGCAGGCTGACGGTTGCTGGGCAGCTGGGCGTGTGGGCAGAGCTGGGCGAGCGTGGGCCTCCCTGTAGAGTGGGGCTGTTGGTAGACCCCCAGCCAGCAGTCTCTGGTCTTCCCAGTTCCGTGATCGGGTTCTCCAGCCGCCCGGGTGGACTGCAGAAGTCTGGTGCGTCTTGGCAGCCGAGTGTCCCTGTTCCAGGGCGCTCTGCGCAAGCACACGGGACATTGTGACTCTTTCTGGGATGCTCCTCTTCTCTCTCCTTATCACTCCCTCCCCAGTGCTGCAGACGTCAGCCCGTGTCTCAGACGCCGCTGCAGACGTAGAAGGCTAACGACACTCCGCCCTGTGGCCTGGCCCCTCTATCCCCGTCGCCTCCGGGAGCAGCTCTGTGCTGCTCCGTGGGGCCCGTGGGTGGTGGTGGGCCTGCACGGCTGGAGCTGACTAAGGAGCCCTGTGCCTGAGCGGGGAGGACCCCGCTTCCCCTTGCAGAGGCCCAGGCTCTCCTGTGCAGGCGGGGGCTTCCACCCGGGGGGCCCAGGTACCCACACAGCTGACTGCTTGCGGTAGAGGGGCCGGGCCCCAGTGCTGGGGAGACGAAGGCCGCTGCCTCGTGGAGTGTCCCCACGTCCACAGTCCGCGTTGGGGTCTGCATCCTGCCCTGCCCTTGCCCACTTGTCTCCGGAATCCTCTCGGTCTTGCAGGGATCTCGGCGCCCATGGTGGACGGGTGGGCACTTGGAGGCCCAGGGGTTGAAGGGCCGTGGCTGGGGAGCCAGGCTGCCAGGTGGCCTGGCCTCTCCTCAGTCGACCCCTGGGAGTCAGGGCACCGAGGGCTTGGTTGGGACGAAGCTGAGTGACCGGGCCGC